CATGTGTAAAACAGTGTTATATTGTTCATTCGGACAATGGACATGCTATAGGACATATGGTATGTCAATTCATGATAAAAACTTTAGAATATATCTTCAAAAGTCGCACATTTTTTGGCTTATAATGTGCTATTGAGTAATCACCAATAAAGTACCTAGTTTAAGCTTGGTACCGTCTCAGTTTGTAAAGTTTGAACTTTGTTTATATCATCATGAGACCCATATCTCAACGGAATGACTGCCTCCTTTTGAGGTAACTAGTTAAATCTTAACTGATAGTTTTTGCTTTTCCTGTTATTGTGCAGTTAATTGTAAATACTGTACTACCGTAAAAAGGTTAATTATTCACTTGGTTTTAATTTTGCTTATTTCGCTGACTGGAAAATGCTCTAAATTAAAACCCAGTGAATATGTAAAATTTAGCATAGAACACATTATCTAAATGATAAAACCCACTGAATATGCCTGAAATGCTAAATCAGCAAAATTTAAACCCAGTGAAAATTAATCATTTTACAGTATTCTAAATAAGTATGGTATATTAATTAAAAAACTTCACTTAAGGGAGGAAGGAAGTGCTTTTTTAATGTTTCATATTTTACTAGGCAACTAAAAATAATTTGCTTTACATTCCTTTCCCTTCCCTTCCCTTCCCTTCCCTTCCCTTCCTGTCTTGTCATCAACTTGGAGATGTTTATCTCTGTAACCTTGCTAATTGTGATGTCATAGGGCTCAATCTATGGTTACTATGGTAACCAGGATTGGAATCCTTGAGGAGTTGACAGATCATATATACAGCCTATAAGGTCATTTTTGGAATGCTAAATCAGGTCACCAACTAAAAGATCAAAACAAATCGCTAATAATTATAAATACCTGTGGGTAATATACTAGACTACATGTCATGGTCAGAAGAGGTTTCATATTACTTTGGATACACATGGTTGCTCTACAAACAAACTTTTGAGCTTATAAAAACACGACCTCCTCTCCATACACATGTACATATGGCCATATTTGATCACTTAGATGTAAAACATCTCAAAATTGTCTTTTTTTGGTGAATTTGTGCAATGCATGATGTTTTTTGTTAAAATTGATGTTTTACTGAATTACTAATCCACTTAAATTTTGTAAAAGACACAAATTCATGAACCAATGAGACAATTTTATAGTTGTGAAAATTTCACTGGTATTGGTAATCACAAAGATATAGTGCCTTTTGTGAAAAATTGTGAAATATCAAAGTGAAAACCTTTCTAGTAGCCAAAATGAATTAGTTTTTCAGTATTAAACAGAAATATAAGCTTGTAGAGCAAGTATAAATTCTACTTTTGCCATATTTGTTGACTTTATTCCTGTATTTACAGCCCTGTGTGAAACCCCTGCACAGAATTTACATCTATTTATCAGCTATATAGTTTTAGACTCCCAGACTCCCAGGTTTGTAAATTTCATCATAGACCTTAAAGTTTATTAAACTAAACCTTTGTCCTTTTCCACTTGAAACTCGCTAGGATCATGTTTTGTGATATTACATTGGATGATAAATAAGTTGTCGAGACATTTTTCTGTTTATTATCCTATGTCTATGTCAGTTCATAAAAACATGTGTAGGGTTTGCTAGAATTTGAACATAAATACTCTTTTGGAAGAATGCAGTGCTTCGACTCATCAATAAGCCTAAATAAAAATAATATATTGTTTCTTATAGCATAGTTATTAAAAACTTTTAAACATTAACAACTTTCTCTGATACTGGTGACCATTTTTTTGCCTATATTTCAGTATTGTCAATGTTTGTTTCTCTTCACATATTGTAATGGAGTTGTACACAGCTAAACCAGGTCAAGACAGACTTTTTTCTTAAGTGTCACTGAACAATGTAGATGTGAAATTATGCATAGAAATCATTAAACAATCAATCTTTCTCTTTTCTGTTGCATTACTTGTGAGGTATTTCTGAATGGATTTACTTTGATGAAAGCCATCTATGGTTGACTTGCCAGAGCTTCTCTTAAGCTTCATTGCGCTTGGCCAAAGAAAAACAATATTTCTAACTGTTATCAAAGAAGCATGCTATGTGATGTCTGCAGGCCTTGTCAACTCTTTCACTATTCTCTGACCCACACATTACACCATTTGCTCAATTTTGGCCTGAGTACATATTTTAACAAGTTTGTAAGCTTAGTGTAGGCTTACCTATAGCACTAATGTCACAGTTTTGGTACTGGTGCAACATTATAATGCATTTACTACTACTTTAAATAATTTTTCGTTGGTTGCAGATCTTGATCAATTGTTTTGAAAACATGAGAAGAAAAAAATTATGCTGTTTTATTTTGTGGAAGGTGGAAAAATTTGATTTTGTGACACCATTCGTAGTGCCGCATACTTATGCCTTTGGTGGGCCATTTGTAGTGCTTCATAGGTCAACTGTATTGTGACATGAATTTAAATTAATAATTAGTCTTAAAAATGAACTGGGTCATGGTGCGCGAATTAGTAGAGATCATAAATTTACTGAGTTTATGGTATACTATGTTCTCTCTGTTGAGATGTTGCAAAATAAGTTGATGTAGTTGGCTGAGAAAAACATTATAAACTGTAATAAAAGTAGCCACAATGACTAAAGCTAATTTAACCGTAGTGAAAAAAACAGCATTGGTATATCCAGTGAGCGAGTCCAAGTGATTGTTTGCAGTGTGCAGATTCACCCTCACTGACTTGAGTGGCAAGATGGTCTGCTTAACTGACTAGGGTGTATGTGGCAGGGACTATGTCATTAACAAAAAGTTACACTATTAGAATTCACATTCAATTTCATAATAGATTACTGCAAAGTTTGTTCAATGGTAAGGTTACTCAGGATTTAGACAACTATTCTGCCTTCTTATCTAGGATCTTGTTACTCTAGTATCTCTCTAGTGGTCTACATACTTCTTATTTGAAATAAGTCGGGTATTGCCGTAAATGTAATTGAGCATGAAGCATGCAGTTGATTTGAAAGGTCTGAGGCAACAAAATAATAAAATTGTTGTTTCTGGCGCTGACACTGATACCGAACACCTATGACTTTGCAGTAGACCAAATTGTTTGGTATTCTAGTCAGGTCTTGCTAACTGGGAACTTTCAAAATTGTGTTATTGGTATGCTAAGTTAGCGTACTACCATGACTGTAAATTAAAACACAATTCTTTTTTGTTTAGGATGTATTTAGTATGATAACCTTTATATTTATTAAATAGTTGTCTCCCACAAATAATTCATTTCTCAGTAGTGAATTCAGTTCTTTATTTGAGATGATACACTATCAATTATAGAATAATTGTATACAATAATTTTTGGTTGGTGCATGCTCAAAGAATTAAGATACCCGTCTAAGAGAGCCAAAAACTTTAACAGTATTTGTATTTTGTGTTTTGCTGGTATAAATCTCAACTGCAATGGCCCCACTTCTATTAGAAACAAGCTTAAACCAATTATTCATTGTATGCACAACTGTTAAAATATGACATATTTTTTTAGAAGATACATTTGTTTCATTTGCACATGAGCTACTAATAGAGCAAATATGCTTTTTGTCTTGATGGGATTTTTCGTTTTTCCATACACATGAATTGAAAAACTATAATGTGCTAAGTTATCAGTACCACGGTTAAATTATTTTTGTTTTTAATAACAAGTTGTATGAAAATATAAGTGTGTATAATAAGAATACATCATTGTGATATTTATTCAAAATATTTCGACTACAGACTAATTATTCAAACCATATTACATTCAGTGAACATGTGGTACACAGATTCGGTTGACAAATGATTTGAAATAGGCAGGAGTTTACATAAGTAGTCCTCTGGTTGTTTTAATACTTGCAGGATCCACTATTGTAAGCCTAAACTAACTACTTAAAAACTATCTGAACTCTAAATTCCATGTATTCCCACAGGTGAGTCTTGTGTATTCAGCCAACAGATGTTAAAAGTAATCAAAGTTTTGCTGAAATAACATAACATAACATCTTGTAAATTACATCTTGTAAATTAAGTGAAATACTACAGGTTTGTCTGTTTTATAAACTGGATTTACAGCAAGTTGCTTTGCTTATTTGGCTATCGGGCCATCATTAGTTTGTGTGGTACATTGCTTTGTATTTTGTACACCTGTATCACTGGATCAAACTACTCTACATAAACTGACCCATGTAAAGGACCTTTCCTTAGTGATCTTATTTCTTTGACATTTCCAACTTTATTTACAGTAACTTAGCACAACAACTGTCTTGTATTCATGTGGTCTGTCACCATCTCAACTATAGCATAGTGTAATATTTCTGTTTTATTGTGCTGTTCTTTGGTGGCCACTTCAGTCTCGTATAAATGACCACCTTTGTTGATCATATAGTCCAGCATGTATAATGTGACCTTTGTGTGACCACTGAACTCCCAGTGGATGGTCACTCTGGTCTATCATTGTAAAGTGCATTTTCACATGTTAAATCGTATGATTTACAGTTGCATTGAAGTAATTTGCTTGTTTTTGAGAGCCAATCTTGTTGGCCAGTTTACTGTATGATAGAAAATCGTTAGTTGTGACAATAACCTGCTTGTTGCGAGATACAATGGCTATTGCAAGTGGATAAATTATGTACTGTTATTTTCCTATGCAAATATATGAATGCTTCAAAAACCAGGCCACTGAAAATGTTTTTGTTTTAAATGAAGCTAACTTAGATGAGAATCTTGAAACTAAGCAGCAGCAAATAAAATGTACGGTAAAAAACTTTGATCCCTGAGATCATGTGACATCATCTACACTGTTTATTATTCTGTATAATTTTGATTTGTATAAAACTTGTTTACTTTTGCCGTTAGATTCAGCTGAACAAGATATACTTAGAATATACTCATGGGCTCAACAATTTCAGGCAAATTTAACAAATCTGAGAAAATTAAGCTTATAGTGCTTTGTTCTTATTTCTTTCTTTTTATATTTGACAGGCATGTACTGGATGCACGCCGAGATGTTACTGTAATGCTACTAAGGGAGATAGGGTAAGATTGAATATTTCAATAAGTTGAAATATAAAAATTTTACTACCTTGTATTCTAAGTGTTGTTTTCAATGTTTCTGGTCATTGCACACAATGTTTAATTTGGTTTTTTTACTACCTTATACTGACCAGAAATATTTTTCTTTTATTTCTGGGCTTTAGAATCTTCATACAAATTGATTTTGATTTGACTACTTAATGCTGCTATAGTTTTCAGGTTATTCTGTTTTGAAGAAGTTTTTTCTTCTCCTTGTTAATATTCAAACTTGCAAATAATTGTTCATCTATCACAGTGATATTTGTTTTTTTCACTTCAGGGTGTGGCAGGTTTCCCAGGACTACAAGGCCCACCAGGATTACCAGGGTTTCCTGGACCAGAAGGACCACAAGGACCAAGGGGTTTCAAGGTGAGTGGTCGGTGATGGCATACATTGTGCCCAAAATAATTTACGAGGAAGGGAATACATTGTTGATTACAGCAGATCCACATCAAAGTGATATTAAACAGATTATTAAATTATTATGTCTACATCACACTCCCACTGATTTGCTTATCCACTTCCTGTTATGCAGACGATGTGAGGAGATCTATAATCCGATTTGATCTCTGACGACACCAACAAGTCAACCATAATAGTACCGCATATATCACGTACTCTCCACTTAGCAGTGTGTTGCCATTCATTTGTACTTTTATATGGCACGTTTCCAGAAATCGTTGCAAGCTGCACGTGCCAATCTCACTTTGTTGAAATAACCTTGTTGGAATCTGAGAGGAATTATAGTTAGTTTCATCTGTTGATTATATGCTACTGAACTGAAGTGAAATTATTGCTATGCTTATAGTGGAATTTTATCATTAGATTTTTTTTATTTATTAGTATTCCCTATGGTATTAATTTTGTTTCTTTCGGTTATTCTGTGCAACTCCACATAATGTATTATTATACCGTACATCTGATAGATCTGTGTGTGTCCTTTAGTTACAGCTAGCCATATAATTTACCGATATCAGCTCTATCCTTAAAATGTTATAGTAGATTTCATGAGAGTCTATAAACATTTACTTGGCAGGAAAGTCTTTTGATATCATGAAATGATTCCATTCATTGTACCCTTGGGTTCTCATTGTCAGTCACAGGGAAGAAAAAAAAACTTGAATACTTTGCACCAGTATCAGAGTAGTAAAACTGTTTGATTGTCAACATTTTGTTATCGCCACACAATCTTTGGGTGCAATACAAGTTTTGCTAATGTAGCTGGAGCAAATGCTGTTTAGCAAACGGTCTCAAAAAGCCACTAGTTTATCAGTGAGTAGGTTGAGCAAGATTTATGATGCAGTTGTTAATACAATGTAAGATCATATAAAAGTGTTTTGATGTTCAACTACTACAGAGCTTCTTATAAATTTGATGTTCTTACCAGGATGTGTGACCTTTTGTTAAGGTCAAGCAATGAATACCATAACCTCTCCTGACACATTGAGCATATCTCTGCTTTCCCATACCAATAATATGATGAATCACTCCAGGGAAGTATGTGTGTTTGGTTGAAACAAACAAAGGAAATCACAGTTTAACAACCCCATAAAACATTAGTTGTTAAATGTGATTGAAAATTACCGATTCTGAATAAAAGATATTTGCCTTGGTACCCAATTTCTGATATATATTCTTAAAGCTTTTTCCAGCCCATGACAACTTGGGGGTTTATAAAATCTGGAATCTCTATAAGAAAGTAAGGAACATAGTGGTGTTTTGATGTGGCGAGATACACTAATACAGGAAGGTTTATAACGAATTCAAATTTATCTTCATTTTTACCATGTAAATAGGGTGAAGAAGGATCACCTGGTTCATCCGGACCTAAAGGACTTCGGGTAAGCTCTTACTTATTCTAGTGTTGGATAACTTGATTCATGAGAATCGAGCGATATCTGTATACATACAGATGATTTAAAACTAGTGGGTGATTTTTGATGCAATTCTTCTTCTCTCTTCAGGGTCGAATGGGGGGTCCTGGTTTTCCTGGTGTCCCAGGTATTCCAGGTATGCCTGGACTTGAAGGACCAGCTGGTGAGCCTGGTATGCCTGGCTGTAATGGCTCAAAGGTAAGTAACCATTTGTGTTCCAAATTCTATTCTGTGTTGTAAGTCTTGTGACGATACAGTTTTCTTTGTTAAACTTTGTGCTACTGCTAGGTCTAACTGTGCATGTGGATTTATAAGAGACCATCCAACACAAAGACCCAAATATGGATATCTACCGAGTACTTCCTTTTTTTACGAGTAAACCAAAGGCTGTGTTTTATTAGCTCTGATGTCAGCGTTTACTGTTAATGAAATAATAATTACTACTAGTAGGTTTTAATAATACACTCGACGAATAAAATAACAATAGAATTTAAATAAAGCCCAGGTAATATGTTTGCAACATCCTTGTATTTTCGACTACTTCTTAAAGATTGTCAGTTGTAGGGGTTTCATGCTCACTACATATGTACTTTGGTTGGTTCAGCCTGAAATTTGTTGACAATATCTTTAATTCTTTAATTTTAGTGAATATTTTCATCATTTTCAGCAAAAAATACTATACGTTTCTGAGTACCACTGTTAGATTTGTTGATTTCATATCAATAACTTCATTTCTCTTGTTTCAGGGAATATTTTTCAACTTTGGGTTATAGACTTATTTCACCTTTTTTAAAAATGACTATCCTGATTGCTCACATATTGTATATGTAGGTGCTTTGGCCAAACCTATATCAAATTTTGTGTTGTCTCTAATTTTAGGAAGTATTTAGGTCATTTCCAGTAAAAAAAGTAATTTATGACATCTTTTTTTGAAAACAACCAGCCCTATTTTTCTTTTATATTTTATATGTTAATTGTTATCTTGGTTTTTAGATTGATTTGATTCTTCTATCAGATTTATTGATTTAGAGTTAATATCTCCAATTTTCTCATTTTAGTGAATACTCTTGTTATCTTGACTGATTATTTGATATTTCTTTCTCATACATATGAACAGAGAAGCAATGTCAGCAGACAGTCTGATTTTTATTGATGTATTTTTTCATAAAATGCCTCATGTTATATAATATATTCCAGGGTGAAGTAGGTTTGCCAGGTTCACCTGGCGGTGGCACTCCGGGTCCTCAGGGTCCTCCTGGTTATCCAGGACTAAAGGTATGTCCTCATTTTCTCTCTCTAAAAACATGCATAACTCTGAATTTTACCATTTGGATCAATCCTGGATGCATTATAGTAGGTGCTTGATTATTATTTGAATTAGTTTTTATACGCTGAATAAATACAGTAACAGTATTAGAGTATGCTTTCATCTGACCCATTCAACATGAAGGGCGCCCTCAACGAGAAATAATAAAAATTTAAATACCAATTGAATATAGAAACACACAGTTCAAGGTCAGGATCATCTAGTACGGTCCTCATCAAGAGTGTTATTGTAACCTTGGATAAAAAAGAAATTATACAGCTCCAGATTAAATAAATTAAATTTTAGAGTAAAAAATGTAATGCCTAAGTTGGATCAGAATGTCGGGGTCTATATATTATGTTTTGGTCAATCATTGTTTTAAATCCACCTCTAAGAAATGTATGTATTTTACTCAGGCACGGGCAGAGGATATGGTGGTTACCAGTGTCTGTCCTGCAGTCCAATCGTCCGTACAAAGTCATATTAGGAGCACTATTGCAGAGACATTCACACAGTTCTATACAATAATAAAAATAATTTTATTGCATCCTTAGAAATACAATGTTTATATCAGTTAATAGCAATAAAGATTAGTTGTGATAACTACTACTACAAAAAGAAAGTTAGTTGTTAATGGGATGAAGCAAGTGTTACATATAAAATGGCATTTTAATTTCTTGATTGAAATGAGTTATGAATGTAGTTGCCAATCTTTTTTATTATTATCATCTTTTGAAGTCATCAAGAAATTAAATTTCTGGAGATCATCCTGTGTTTCTTGTGGAGATGTAATGTCTTGTATGTATATTGAAGACATTGCACACTAGATCTGATCAACATATTTGATAATAATATATTATAAAAATGCATAGCTACCATATCTGGAACACCATTGTTAATAGAGCTACTTAACCAATTCTTTTGAAAAAGAATATGTTGAGGTATCTGCTATCTCTGATGCCTTTCTTGTTAGTTTACGTTTGATACAAAGCACACACCTATCACAATAATATGTTGATTGTTTCAGGGTGAGCCTGGTGATACAGCACCAATGCAAAAAGGCATCAAAGGAGAACCAGGTCTACCAGGCTTTAATGGAATCCCAGTAAGTTAATCTCAATGTATACTTTACCATACCAAAAATGTCTTCTTTGATTTCACCATGCAATTTCTCACTCTCTACATGTGTACATTATATCTGAAGTACTATGAACTTGTGTACACTATTTTTAGGGGCCGCCAGGATTAAATGGTTTAAATGGTCCTAAAGGCGACAAAGGCGACGATGGAATGAAAGTAAGTACACCTAAAAATAAGTAAGGGACAACTTTATTTCCTGGCATTCTCTTAAGCAGAATATCTTTTTTTCTCGTTTGGCAATTTGTAAAATTGTTAGTGACATTCAGACACTGATTTGATATAATAATTTTAAAGTAACCAAATAGAAATTTTGTATTTATCTCATTGGTAACACTTTCTTTGTTTAGTTGTAATCTAGATACAGTGTATCAACATAAAGTGTGAACTGTCTTGATTGCATTGTTAAACAAACAATCTGAAACCCTGTACTGTCTTTTGCAAATTTCTTTTTTACAAATCTGGTGACTGTAAAACATCACAGTATGTAAGAACAGATATACAAAGCTTAGACAGTTCCTTTCTCTCACTACTTTTTACTCTGAGTGGCATAATTATTTTTCGGTTTCTTCTGTTTTCACCAGGGAGAAAATGGTTTCCCAGGGCAACCTGGTACGAAAGGTGAAATGGGTATTGACTTCCAAGGTCCACCAGGTGCAAAGGTAAGTTGAGGAGATGACCAGGTAGGTCAGACTTTGCAAAACACAGCTGTGGACTAGTCTGTTAAAATTGTTATATTTGAAGAAGCATTTGTTGCAATTTGCTGCATAATAAACACCAAAAAATACATGACTTCGTATACAGGAGACATTCAAATCCATGTGTACTTTCAAACTTCCCATAACTGTTAAAGAACCAAGGGGACATACCAATCCATGTGTACATTCAAACCCTCCCACAACTGTTCAAGAACCAGGGGACATACCAATCCTTGTGTACATTCAAACTTCCCAGAGTTGTGCAAAGACCAGGGGACATAGCTTAATTATACTAGCCTTAACTCAAATGCATGTGCGTCACTTCACATATCTGTACAGTTGCATTCCTTTAACATCTTGTGGTACCACCTGAAGAATTCTGAAATGTTCTCTTTATACAAAAACTTAATGACATTGATTAATACCGTTAAAGTCCTAATATAAACCGCATACGTAATAGTAACCACACCCCCAATTCCGGCTTCGGGGTTAAAGAGTTCTTAACAAAAATTGAAAACTTGAAAAGTACCTATTACTAACCGCACCCCCAATTCAACAAGACCGTGACTGACTTCATTGTTTCAACCAGCTGTTCCAAAACGGCATTGTTCCTAATCCTATTCATTTGTTTCGACAACATGCCTAAAAATATTCACACCTATTTATTGTTCAGCGGTGATAAGATGTCAGACAGACAATGAAACTGCTTTTGTTCTGGCGGCGACCTCTGTCAATACTCTTTCTGAATACGTCTGTG